CCATGGCACACCTTACACTATGTCACAGCACACTAGTGTGCCACGGCACAGTGGTTGAAAAACACTGATATTAGTGCTCCATAGGATTTAAAATTATGGATTTAGTGGTCCCTGAGGTCCGAAAGATTGATGACCCCTGTTTTAAAGGGTTTATGGTGCTTCACCAATTTTGGGATTTTGTTTATTCATTTGGTTGTTTTAAATTATGTTGAAAACAGAACCACAAATGTGAGATGGGCCATTGTACAAGTTAAATAAATAAACACATGCAAATAAAATAAATAAAAATCTGAAGCTCAGATCTGGTGGATCAACTTCACTCCCGTAGATTTTACTGAACAACCCGGTTGCCAAGTTGCTAGTTTCTAGAAAAAGGAACTTTCTACTCTTTTACACTCAGTGCCTTGTGACTGATGAAAATTTGCATTTTGTTGATCTATAGTCATATTTAATCAAGCGTAGCATTAATTGAATATGGAAAAAAATATACATATGTATATGTGGGAGTTATATGGGTTTATGTTTATCAATTGAATTTCTGCTCCAATTATAAGTACTTCTCTTTCCTAATCATTTCATGCTTGCATATGCAGATGATTTGATGTATACAGGCTCAGATGATCTCTCAGAGAAGTTGTTTTTAAAACCTTGTAGCACCTGAGTTTTCCCAACCCACTTAAAAAAACATATACATTTTCTCGTACTCAGTTTATACAGTTAACATTGCGTTTATCAAATTTTGAGCACCTATTAAGATTTTCTAGGCACTCATGTTGTTAGAAAGGAATCAGATCATTCAGAAGGATAAAGCTATTTTTCATTTTCTTTTCATTTCATTTGGTGCTTGGAAAACCTTACCTGACCGACAAGCTATGTCCACATCTTTTTCAAAATCTGTCTGTAACAATAAGAAATAGAAGTGAAATGAGACAACTGTTAGCAATCATTAGCTGAAGGTCAAGCTAAATGTGGATTGCGACCCAGAGGTGCCCCTTCCAGCTCTCAGACTCCATAGCATGTAACACAGTGTGCATCACATCATCATTGCACAGTGCATTGAACCTTCACTCTTTCAGCCAATGATATGAAACGAAATAACAAGCACAATGATTTACTGAGCTACGACACCATCTTGGGTAATTAAATATTACAGAAGAACAGAAAAGTGTCTGGTTTTGTGACAAATACCAAGAAGATGCAATACAATACAATAGCAGAGTTGGAAGGGACCTTGGAGGTCTTCTAGTCCCACCCCCTGCCTAGGCAGGAAACCCTATACCATTTCAGACAAATGGCTATCCAACTGTTTCTTAAAGACTTCCAGTGTTGGGGCATTCACAACTTCTGGAGGCAAGTTGTTCCACTGATTAATTGTTCTAATTGTCAGGAAATTTCTCCCTAATTTTAGGTTGCTTCTCTCCTTGATTAGTTTCCACCCATTGCTTCTTGTTCTGCACTCAAGTGCCT